GGTTGGAACGGGAGCTTTTTTAACTTATGAAAGAACCTCCTCACGTACATCTTTTCCACCATGATCAAATGATCGCCAGATCAGGTTGTAAAATTACAAATTTACGTTTTTTTTAAAAATTTATAGCATCTAGTTAAAGTGCTGTTCGAAGATTTCGACCGATTTCGACCGATTTCGACCGATAAAATAGAAAATTATTTGAGTATTGCTGATATTTGGATGAAAATGTATTTTAATCAAAAGCCTTTGTGAGATATATCGCACAACAAAACAATAAATCTTTATTATTATTAAACGTCTACATGTAGAGTGGACCACAGTTAATATTAAAGACCATGTACAAAGTACATAATTCTATGATAAAATCTCGCAATGATCGGTGATAGGAAAAGGAACAAAACCAATACAATCAAGAGTGTGTATCATAATAATAGCACACCGAAGCATCGCTTGGTTCCCTTTGAATTACGATGCTGACAAAGGTTGTCCATTACTTTCAAGGACATACACTTGTTTTCTTATATGGAAAATTTATGATACAATCTCCCTGTATGTATTTCCATCAGTTTTCAAAATAGTCACGGCGCAACAGATGAAAGTGCGATTATCCTGACAACAGATAATCTAAAATGGTGGTATAGGATACCCCTGTTAAGTGTTACAAAGAAACATACATTGATATTGATTCCGGCACAAACATAATTGCAATATATATAACAAATGGTAGAAATTAGAAAGAGATGCTTAAGGGTGCCCGTACCATTGCACAAATTGTTCGTAATAACTTTGATTAGAAACTGCTTTTTCTGGAAAAACTAAAGCTGTGATAAATGGTTTCTGAAAAGTATCAACCAAACCTTGAGGAATTTGTACATTTTTTTTTACTAAAGATAGTATAAATTAACTATAGTTATATACGAAAAACCACAGAGCATTGGGACATGAATCCTTAATATAATAGGAGGATTGGTAAATCTGTCCTCTCTGTTTACATATTGGTCGATAGTACTAAGTATGTGATTCCTACTATCGGTTTATATCTGATAAAGATAATTGGAATTGACTGTACATGCGCTACTGCGAGTTAAGTACTGCTCCATGTAGGTCTATATTAGTCTATGGAACGTTGCTAGCTGTAGCTTATAAATGGTAGCAACACATAGTATAATTATCGAGCACGCACCACAACATTTACCGATTTACGCTCAATCAAGAGGATCGCATTTATCCGTATACATACATTCAACGCAGCAAAAAAAAAGAAATAATTTGCATTTATGTTGATTCTTCATATTTGATTTCCTATCTTAGTGTTTTCTTTGCTTTAGTTCCAAATTGCATTTGTCGAATATTATTTTTGTACTACCATGAAATAAAAATCGAAAATAATGCATTACAACTTGAACTATGACGTCATAATAATCTAACACGGCGGCGGATTATAACGTTGTATCGAATGTTGATTGTGCGGTTAGAATTCAGACTTGTGTTTGCTTAATAAAGATGGCAGTGCATCAGAATATACTGTCTTTCTATACTATACTTTGATAATAAATTGTATTAGCCTTTCATTTAAATATGTTTTCTTAATCGCTCACACAAATGATATGAATAGGAAACCAATCTATTGGACAAAAGAATAGATAATTGGACATCAAACAAACTCTAGAAGGTCTAGAAAACACCAAGAAAACATAAAACACTGCAGGGGAATAACACCTGTTGAGTCCCATGTAGCTGAAGGAACCTATCCGATTATGTTTCCTTTATATCTCTATATGACGCTGCATAGCATGCCTTGTGTCGCTGGTCTATTTGTGTATGACTTTAATTTTCCGTATTTGGGCATTCATCTTCTCTTTCTATTTGATGACGACCCTTCTGGCGTTGTCTGATTATTCTGTTGTCAGATTTTATGAGTAGATGGAGTGATGTACCTTTTTTTGGTGTGACATTTTGGTGCCGTGTCTCAATAAAATGAACCAACCTATGTCCCCATCGTCAGTAGATGCCGTCCAAATTTGACCTTGGTTGTTGCGAAAATGTATAACCACACACACACGCAGAAATAGTTTTGTGTAGCACAGGTCTAGTATTCATGGAACAATGTGCTATGGTTAGAATGTAGTACTATGGTATCAATTTCAAGGAAAAGATCTTATTAAGAATAAAAAAATATTTCAGGGGTCAAATTGCAAAAATGTAACCTTTCATTTTAAGCGCTATTCGCGTTTGTCTGACGGGCATTTTCGTTTTACAAATATAATTGATACTAAGTAAAGCACTTAATATTATACGTAAATAATGATAATACTTATATACTTTTCTATTCGAGGAGCCAAGAAACCAGGGAAACATTCAAGAAAACCATAAATTTGAATTACTTTTTTGTTTGGGAGTTTGTCGTTTTCGTTTTGTTTTTTGTTGTTGGTGGTGGATGGGGGAGGGGGGCGACGGTCGTCTCTCTCTTGCTGGTGGGATATTTAAGGAACAAACCAAAGGTGATTTGCAGCACATATTACAACACCTGGGATAAAATATCTTTTATTGTTGATGCCTTCCTATGCACCCCTATTTATATGGTCTTAGCTGTTGCGAAGATTTCAATCCTAAACAAAAGCAAAATGTCAACATCACATTTGAAAATTGGTTTACTATCATTAACCTGGCTAAAACGTTTCCTGTTATACCACGTGTCACTTCAATTAATTACTCATATGGTAAACAATTATATATAACCATGAAAACTTGACCAATCCTTTATTATTTATGGTATGGACAATTAAGATTATTTCGGGATTTTCACGGAAAAGGACAAAACATAAGACGGAAATTACTGCGTACGTCATTTGTATCAGTTGACCGACAGATGACCACCATGTCCTATTAAAGTTTATTACCACATGTATTAATAACCCGTATAAATATCAACCAAACAAATGCTGAATTTGTTTTATTATGATGATAACCCACGAAATGGTTCTCATTAACCTCTGTTTCACATATGCATTCCTCATCACCATTGTGATGAGGGTAAGCGTTGCGGCCAATATTGGCCGTCCAGAATTACTCAATATCGATCAAAATTAGGAAGTCCTTATGTGCTCTCTGTTCACACAAACGTAAACTGTGATTATCCAAATCGTCATTAATCCGCCAATATATGACGACGCATCAATGTTAGTTACACATACTGTCCTACGATCGGAGCATCTTAGATGAAAGTTAAAAACAAATCTCAATAAATTTTCAAAAGTTTTGTTTAAAGAGTCATACAAATATTGTTGACGCTATAGCTTCTTGGATTGCTGTCTACTTGACATTCTTAGTACTTATCTAAATTTCATATTGATCGGCAGAATGTATTTAAACAGTGACGGTCTAAAATAAAGACTGGTGTTTGACAATCATAATTGATTTTATTTATTCAACAAGTTTAAACAACTTTGCGAACTTGTAATACTTTATTCCTGGAAATGTTCACCCAGTCGAGAACGTTTGCCCTTAGCACACTGCCATATATTCAATTTTAGCCCAGGGAAAATTTCGCCCTTCACATAAAATTACTTTGTCTAAGGTGTAGTTAATCTTTATTCGCTATAATGATACAATTCGTTGTCATTGGGGAGGACAAAAAAGCGAAAATTTAACAGCGGCAATAAAAAACGGTTAACAATGATCACTCTTTTGCTTTCGATTCGGTCAATATACGTCGCTAAGGGAACACATTCTTATAAAACTAAGAACACGACTATTACTCCATTCATTGCTTTTGGATTGTTTGAAACAATTATTCCTTGGCTGCATACATGTAATATAATGACATCAGTTATAGATACCGTATTGTGAAATCACGTTTTATCTGCCTTTTCGTTTGGTTGATAAAATTACTGCTTGTAATACTATGATTGTAAGTGTTGCTCTTGTTATCGCTTTTGTTGACAGATCAATACTAGAATGAATTGTATTAATAAAACGACTTCTCGAGGTACACTAGCAATCGCTGGTGATACAATTGAAACACTCCCATACTCACAAGTGAGAATTTACCTTACGATCAATGTTAAAGGGTAGGCGTTGCTATAAGTAGACGTGTGGAAATATCATTTTAATAATCCTCTAACATCAATGGATCTTATGACAATTTTCTATTATACTCTTTGGTATTGTTTTACTTATTGATTTGTCACGAAGCCTTTCAATAATTTTGTAGATTTATGCCGTAAATATCTGATGACTTAAAAAACCATTTCTCCTACATTTAACTTACACAGAGGAAGGTTGATCTTGAATGTAAAACATATGAATAATTTGTATTTGATCTGCGTTTTCTCATAGAAATGAACATCACACTTCTCAATTGTTTGCCTTGACAGACTGTCTTCGCATTGTTATAGATTTATATTGGTTTTGGATCAAAATGCATTTGAATATTGTTCTGAATGGAACAAAAAGATATCAATAAACATTCTTTAGTAAGCTTAGCGTAATATATAGTTTGAAGATTTTCTCTCTACGTTTTTTAAAGCATAACAACCCTTTTTAATTATTATTAAAGAAATAATGGATATTTTTTTCCAATTCGCCTGCCCAATATCTTCACTAGTTGATCGTTTTCCCGTTCATGCCACCTTCCACTTTTAACATTTACATGACACAGAAGGTATGTCTAAATGTTATTGTAAATCCGTCCACGATTGAAGCTTTTGGTCTATTTGGTATTGTATTCTTATAATGGTCTGTGTTTACATCAGGCCGATGTTTTTTTGGTTTTGTTTATAGGTGTAACTTGTTGTGTCATTATCATTTCCCCGGTTCTCACTTTGTTTACGTGACATTATCAGTATATTTATCCTGAATTTAACTGACGGGTGTATTCAATGAAGCTTTCGGAACATACTGTCTCATTCTCTATGTGCTTTTTTCAATATCAAAAAATGTCCTTTGCTTAACAAAATAATTTGCCCAGTTTCACCTATAACGTGTTTGACATGTTTCAGGCAGGCGATGGAGAGATGATGGACATGGGGGGTCGAGGCGGACTACAAGACGCAGCATATGCATACCGGCAATTAGCACTTATACAAGATGAAGAGGATACCTTACTGCGCATGATGGATAATCTAAAAACCAAAATGGAACATGTCAAAGTCCGGAAAAGGGGTCATATCCAATGTCTTGTGAATCTTGTAGCGTGTTACGGTAAAAGGAAGTAAAGTACAGTGAAGTGTCTGTGAGGACTTGGATCCTATTCATACAACTGTTATTTTTATACAAAATGTTTGTGTCTTGCAGTTAAGACTCTTATTTTTCAATCGGAACGACTACATTCGTACATTTAAATTCGATCTTAATCAAACTTCAATTTTCATGACATTATTTCGAATTCAACAAAAGGATACATGCGCGTTTCATAGTGATATATGTGGTTATCTTAACTACTACGAGAGATCAAAATACGATTAAACATTTAATTTACAAAATCCGTATACGCATGGCCTCCTGTTCACCATTGCTCTGAGGGTGTTTGTTAAATGGTAAGCTCTCTCAAACATCCCAATACACAAGTTCGACGTGTTTGCTTCAAGTGTAAATTGAAATAATAAAATTCAATTCCTCATTGTTGAGTTTATACCTCTTATCATGTATATAGCTCTCACTATCTCAACAAAATGAATTGTTGATTTATTGATGATTGACACTTTGATTTCTGTAAATCTTGATTACGTCCCGGTTATTCTGTAAGGTTGGGTTTGTTTGTGTGTTGCGTCCTATTAAGAACCTGCCAGGTTTTGGTTGTGGAGGAAAGCCGAGGCTCCCGGAGACAAAAACACCGACCAGTTTCTTGCGACTGGTCCACGTAGGCCGCGAGCCCTCGACCCAGTGGTGGAGGGCTAGTGGCAGCAGAATGTCAGATGCCTTAACCACTTTGCCGCCGCGGCCCGTTAATATTCTATAAGGAGATCATGGCGTCTTTGTCGTCCTTTTTTGTGTTCCGCAGTTACTGTCTTCCTTTGTGTTAGAAAATAACTTTCCTATTATTATTATTTTTGAGTGTTGATGCTGTTTTGGGTCTTATCTTGTCTTAAGACGTTCACTTATGTGTTTGTGGAAAAACATTTGTATATCGGGATAGCCAACAAGATTTTAATTATACAGAGAATATATTTTCTTGTTTCATTAATTAATTTGGAAGTATATATAGAGCAATGGTACAATTTGCACTTCTCTTCCAAAACTAAACCTCTAGTTACCCAGATTAACATGATATACATTTAGCATATATAGGACATTTGTTATTTCTATTCTGTATCATCGGCGGTATTCAATCTTGTAAATATAAAAATATTTGAAGATTAATTGCTAAAACCTTATACAACAGAATACGTTTACAAGAACGCTAAATTGTATACATTGATGCTAAAAATACCAGATCTAAACTACCACGTCTACTACGTTCTTAAGGAAAATGTCTCACACGCTTCTTGTTTTCAAATTGACAGAGAAGAATAACAGCTATTATGGTGACAATATGTAAAAGATCGAAATAAGCCTTTCCTCGTTTAGTAGATCGTAAAGGTCAATGTTAATAGTTAGACAGATGTCTTTTTGTGTAATCCATTATAGTTGAGTGGCTTGAACTCCAATCACTATATCACGCCGATTTTAGAATTAAGTAGTGGTATTTTTCTGATATTCAATTTAAATAACTTAATATTGTTTTCCTTTTTTTTCTGATGATGGTCGGAAGTCTTTTGTGTCAAGAAAGTAGAATTACGCCTTCATTGTATTATGATGTATCACGCTATTTCCTTCCACAATAAAGTTCGTGAATAATTATCATAAATATGTTTTTGACCAACTGTGCTAGCGAAGTTTCATTCCAGGTTACAATACATATATAATGAGGTAATCTGGTATAGTGAATTAAAGTATATTAAAGAAACGAGAATAATGTTATAGCGGCAATATGGTTGCATGCATTACTACTGTTAATCCATAGTATTCTAAGTATCTCCTCCCGGCTGGTACGTGTGTCAATCAACAGAGTTCAATGGTCAATTACATGATAAAGAGGAGATTTCAAGGGTTACTTTCAAGATATAAAGCTTATTCAACATCGATCTTTAAAGACACACAGCTTATCCAACTGGGTTCAAATATTCTTTCGAAGGGTATAATTGTTATCCAACATTGGTTCATATACAATTATACATGAGGTGGGGTAAACATAGAATTTGTGATAATGGAACAATGTAAACATAGGACTATGGATATCATATAAACGTTGCTGTTCAGTTAAAACATATTTATTTTTACCGTGGAAATGCAAAAGGATTAGGCACAAACTATTACAACATTACCAAGACCGTCTACAACTAATGTGTACTAGTATTGTACATGCAATATGAAGTCTGTATCCATAGCACGCCTAGGGTTTGTAATGTAGTATTTATATGATTAAGTACCAGTTGCTTATTTGGGGATTTTAATATTGGTAGCATTTGCCCTTCTGCTAAACAGTAGGATTTGTATAGGTAGTATGCAATAATATTTGTACTATTTTTGGCACAACAGGATTTGTATTTGTAAAATGTATACATAGCATTTGTGCCATTTAAACACTAACCTGTCGTTTTAGAAAGAACAAGACTTGTCCAAATAGTATTCCATCTGCTGTGAATTTCACCACCAGATGATACTGTACATGAGTAAAGCAACGTTTATTACACCTGAGATAACCTTAAGTTTGACAAACTGTTAGAGCTGGAAGGTTGTTGGGGATTGTTCGGGGAACTAAACTAATTACCCTTAGGCTAAAATTTATTTTACCGGAGATATATTCGTTCTTTATCTCTCTGCTTCTCCGTTTTATGGCACATGTAGCGCACTTCGCAATTTGCTTCGAAATTCGATAAGTTCCACTAGACAACAATTAAATCGTTATTACGACTTATGTTATCCCGTTGTCGGGAGCAACGTTTTCTCCTACCTACAGGTTTAACTTTCTCATAATAACAAGTTGTGCTTTTTCCTTAGTATATGATAGTGGTTCTGATTTTACGATATATGTTATTTCGTTATTACAACCTAAGTTGTCCTGTTAGAACGGGTTCAGCTACCTCGTTACTACGAATTATTTGTTCGCATTAATCCTGTCCTTAGACAGATCTCGTTATTATAAAGTTAATTTTCGCGTTATTAAATTAAAGCTTGGAACTTTCTCTTTATTACGAGTTGAGCGATTGCTTTGCTACACGAACGTATCAGGGTGTTTTGTTATAACAAAAAATACTAAATAATAATTCGACGTTCCTATATACCGCTTTATCACAAAGCATAACCTTTCTCAACTCCCTGGGAGGCACACAGCTCGTGCTGCCATTCCGGCGCTCACAGCTACCAATTTAACACTTCTAGCACTGCCCAATCACGCATTCATTTACAGCTGAGTAGATTGGAACAAGCGGGGTAAAGTATCTTGCTTAAAGATACAACACACTGCCGTGCCGTGACTCGAACCCGCAACCCTTCGGTAACGAGCCACGGCGTTCTACCACGAGACTACCGTGCCGTGCCTAACGAGATTTTTTGACATGTACTTACTGATGTTCCCAGTCGGCCTTCGCAAATATCAGTACTCCTCGAAGCGTCATAAATCAAATTCACTACCACAGTCCATACACTTTCGGGGGTACCCGACGGGGTTTTTATATCGTAAAAAAGTCACAAACATAAGGTTTATCTACATTAATCCGCGCGTATCTATAAATATTGTCCGTAAACACCCAAGGAGAAATGCTTAAAAGTCACAACAACTATTTCTGCCTACCAGTAACACAGATACTATTCTCTTTTCATTCATATTACAAGTTGATTTTTCGGGTGCGTGGTTCTATAAATAGAAAGCGGAATACAATCAGGGTTACGTGTAGGCTCTTGAAACGGCGTGACTGTACCCTGAAAGCGACACTTCCGGTATTTTGGCGAATATTTAGGAATAAACGATCAATATAGGCAGAAAAATATGCAAAGTTGACATATGTTAGTCAATGGGGTTACTGATCAAATGTCATCTCCAAACTTGCATTAGTTTTGATAAAATTGACTTTTGAAATTGTTCTCCAAATAAATAGCAAAGCACGGCACGTAAATCAGGATTTATTTTTATTCGTAATTATTCTTACCTTTTTATTGTCCATGTAACGATAATCAGCAGTCAATAAAACTTATATACAGTTAAATTGTTATAACAAGTATTATCAAAATGAAAAAAAATTTACATAAAAGTACTTCTTTGCAATGCATGACAGTTTCTTAGGCCATTTTGCCAAAAGTGTCGAGTTTTGGGTACTGTCCCGATTTGGGTACAGAGACGGTATGCTATTTAGCATTTATAAATATGAATAAGACTTATTGTTTGGCAATCAGTTCAATAGCATAAATAACACCAAGCTAATCTACACAGTTACTAGACTAAGTGTGACCTGTTATAAATGCTGACCGTTGATAACTTCCCTTTTTGAATTCTTCAAACTCCATACCTGATACTGTACATAGCAGGGATTGGTTAAAACATTTGAATATCTTAACAGTTACACCAAATGTTGTTTTAATTGTATCTCACAGTAAATGACAAACCGTGCTTTATTCATACTATTTTATAGTTAAAAATAGCATGCAAAAGGTTAAATGGTAAAACGCATAATTCAAACCATCTTCGCTAGCCAAGTGTTCGCTTCGTTTACACTCCACTTACTTGGCGGATATAGCCGTGTTTACCGAGCCTTCAAATTTTCGTGCGGTGCTAATCGCTCGCATCCAATGAAATCGCGTTTTACATATAGCGCTATTGACAAAGGAAAACAGTAATGGTGACGCCCTGTACGGAAGCACGTTGTCGTTTATGTCAGAGTGTTTTGTCACCAAAAGATAGGCGCACGATCTTTGGGGAAACTTCTGGAGTTTTAAATCAGTTGGTTGAAATCCTTGACTCTGTGCCACATGTAAATAATGACCGGGGAATAAATATGTGTGCTGCCTTTGGATCGTTTCCATATTGCTCTGTCATTTATACTCCGCCTCGACATACACGTGCTTTTGTCAACACGCCGATGGAGTGTGTATGTAACGGTCATTCTAATTGGTTAAAAGTTTTCGGGAGAAGAGCGATAACTCGGTATATCCGCTAGGTGGCAGTGGAGGGAATTATGAAAACACGGCTATATCCGCTAAGGGTAAGTGGAGTGTAAACGAAGCGAACACTTGGCTAGCGAAGATGAATTCAAACACAGGTAACAAATTATCAGAATGGTTATATTGTAAAATATCGTTAATATCATTTGCTTCTATGGTAAAAAGAACATTCATATAGCGAGGTTTTATAATGAAGAAAAAAAACATAATAAAAATGGTAGCATTTTAAAACATTATTCATATGGTTTAGGTAAAATACATCGTTGGTGTCGTTTCATTTGAAGTTCATAATTATTTGGCTCTGTTGTAAAGCATTTTAAATAAAATGTTTGCTTTTTTCAACAGTTTCTTCTTTTCCGTTTATTCCACATTTATTTGGTAAGATTTTGAGTTAATGAGGAAAATAGCCCGCCTATTTTCTTTAT